CCCAATCAATCAGGAGCTTCCATACCCTAGCCCCCTGTTTCCCAAACTATCCTTGAAAATCCCTACCCTGCAAATTGTCAGAGATTAATTTCAGTAATAACTCCATCTGTCACATGCCATAGTGGCCTCATATCAATTAAACTTTCTTTACTGCAAAAAACCAACAAAAAATAAAAATGAAAAAGAAACCAAAATCCTCTTTATTCTCCAATGACAAATTGTCTGCTGCCTCTTGGTCAGCAAAAGATGCTTCTCCTATTATCTTGACTTCATTTTTAAGCCAAGCCTCTTTCAAAAATTATCAAGCCATCCTTTGTTGGCATTAAACTATCCAGCTTTAGACCTTTCATCTTTTCTTTTTTTAAGTTTCCATATAATGATTTTGCTTTTTTTTCTCTCTCTCTCTGCGGCTTAAAATCCAACTCCTCCAGACAGCATACAAGATCCTCCAACATCTGGCTGTATCCTAGATTTCCTACTCCATTTCCAGCCTCCACATTGCCTCCAAACACTAACATCCCAGACTTTTCATCACTCTCTGCTCACTCTGTGGAATGATTTTGCTTTTCCTTGAATCATATTAGAGTCTATAGGTATGTCTTTCTTATAGCAATTCTGTACTCACATAAAAGCTATATTTTCATTGTAAGAGAACAGTACAAGATTTTTGCACCTGTTGGCATATCTGTAGCTATATCACAGTTTCCTCTCTCTCTCTCTCTACACACACACACACACACACACACACACACACAGCAAGCAATTCAACTTTTTCTTTGTAATGTCATGACTTTTCTCTGCTTCTTGAAAGTACTTCCAGCATCAGTAGTACCAGGCTAAATGTGTCCTCTGGTGTTATCCAAGGCTTATGAAATTGCACTAAACATGATAAAAAAATACATGAGGACTTCAAGATCACTTTTTCCTGAAGGGAGGAACTGCTCACATGGCTATGATTGTCACACAGTGTTTTAAGCAGATAATCACAACACTTGAGCTCACTGCAAGAACAACAGAGGTGGCTACAAAATTATTACATTAGTATATACTATAGTTAATTTTATGCAGTTACAATTTAATAGTGCATCACTATGTTTATTTGCATATCATGACTGCAAATAGCACCATGTAGACTGTTAAGTGTCTGTGTGCATAAGTTTTGATAAATTTTAGCTTTTTGTAACAGATTTATGCATATTTTATGGTAATAAATGATAAAATAGACTAGTATCTACATACATTTTATGCATTCATGACATGCCTTTTTCTTAATTTTTCCAACATTTCCAGGCTACTTAGTTCATCTGTGAGTTTTTTCAAACCACTGCAAATCTTCAAAACATTTTCCAATATATTTATTTTTAAAACCCACATATAAGTGGAGCCACACAATTTAATCCCATGTTGTTCAATGGTCAACTGCATAAAAAAGGGTTTAAAACAGTGCTTGGCACAGAGTAAGTACTGAGAATTAATGCAGGTGAAATTGTAATAGAGTCTTAGAAATTCAGCACCCTAAAAACTTACACACATGAACATTTCTGACATGTGTGTAATGTAGGTGAAACTATAATAGAGGCTTAGAAATCTAGTACCATAAAAACTTACACATGGCCCTTCTTTTCACTAGTGCTTCACAACCACCTGGTCAAATATTGTACTGGAATTAGATATATGTCTTCTCCCATATCAGCAAAATTCTTTGTACAGAATTGAATTCTAAAATTCTGCTCACTATGATTATAATTATTACCTCTCCCACTCCACCAATTCATTCAGATCCTATGACCAAAATTAATGAATTCACTCCTCTAGGTTTTAGAATTACCTAACTGCTAAATGCTCCCACTGTTAGGCTGTAGCAACACAATATATCATACCTTTTGGATTTCTTCAGGCAAGGCATGCATGGGAGTGTGACGATCCATAATTTCCCCAAATATAGTGAGAGAGCTTTGAAGAGAAAAAAAAAATCTAAGAACATTGATGGCAACAGTCAGAACAGACATAATGTACAGAACATTCAAATTCAGATGCTTTATAAATTCTTAGGAGTATTTGGGGATGAATGGTGATAACCATTTCAACAGACGCTTATTTCATCAGCTCAATGTTAGAAGGTACAATTAGGGTTTTCTCCGTTAGTTATTGGGCCAATAAAACAGGAGAGAACTATAGAGAATGTTAAGTTAGAAATCTTTTCTCTTTTTCAGAATTTTATAGTTTAATAGTAATTTTTGTTGTGATTTACTACTATTTTTCAAATACATAATAACTAAAATTTTAAATACATATTTATTTTGGGATATTTTTAAAAGCAAGTTTTTTTCTGAAATGCCACTAGAAAAAGTATAAAACATAGTATTTTAGTTCAGCAGATAAAAAAAGCAATTGTGGCATGAATGCTGGATTAAATAATGAAATACAGAAAAAGAACATTTAGTGTTACCAGATTAAATATGATATGCAGGCACTGAAGAGAAAAGTGATCAAAACAGAAGAAGCCAAGTGCCAATGTTATCTAAGATGGACATTTACTTAATTTTATGCAGATGTTTTACTTTTAACAGATTTTTTCTAATAAAAACCATTCCATGTAAATGTCAGTCACTACTTTCATAAAGCCACAGAGGATAAATGGAGGAGCATTTTGGGTTCCTTTTTTTTTTTAATCCTTCCCAAATATGGAAACAGTCTAGTTTCATGAGTGATGGCTGTTTATACATATCTAAGGAGTTAGGGGAAGGGGGAAGGCAGTGGCAGCGGAGTCAGACAATACACACACAATTCCAGAGCAGGGAAGAAAGTTTGAGGACCATAAGTTATCGACAAGAGCAGTCTCTTGCCACATGGCTATGATGATCAAGAAAGAAAAATATCTTATGTTTCAGATGGGAGTTGGGAGTTAGTGAAGGCTTCCTGAGGTTTTTTGCATTTAGTCAGGGCAAGATTTTGACAAGAGAGACTGGAGAAGCCAAGTACTTTATCAGAGAGAGCAACACTGGTCATACAGCAAGGTAGCAGGAAAACTGTAATTGACAAAAAGTCCTATAGTGGCATTATTTTTGAAAATGGTGCAACCACTGGTAAGAGAAGATTCCTCGTCCCCTGCGTTAGCACCAAGACTCATTTCAGTGAGTTGATGTTTAAAACCAAAAACTAATGAGCTTCATGTCTCCCCACATAAAACAGAATATGACATGTGTGGTAAAGTTAACTGAGGTCTGCAACAGAGGTACCATTAACCATGTCAACATAGGCACAAATGTAATCTTATGTTTAGCAGATCATCATAATCATGTGGCAAGAGCCCAGAAGGCTCATTATTCTCATTTCTGTCATTTAACAGTGGAATTGCCATCAGTAAAATAAAATAGTAACTTCAACTCTATTGGGAGTAGAATTTTCCAAAAAATTACCAGGTAAACATCCTTCTAAAGTTTCACCCATAAAATTATCTGAGAGCACAGATCTAAATGACAATATAAACAAAGCACCAGTAGAACAGTTTTTGTTTAGTGTCTTCACTGTGCGTGAATCTATTCCAACTTGATGGCCTCGCCATAAGAAGGTGAGGAACTGGCAGGTTCTGATTATTGGGGGAAAATTAAAAACAAATATCCTGCCAACCCAGAAAATGCAATACAGAAAGACAATTTTATTAGTAATGAGGCATTCAACTAGGCTTTGATGAACATCATAGCTAATCTGCTAATGAGGTTACAAAAAAAGTAGGAAATCCCACTTTTCTTTATATAGTCAAGGAGGCACAATCCATTACACACACATTCTCAAGAAAATTGGTAACCAGTCCTCATATAAGAGGGCTTAATATAGTGTTCTATACATTCTTTCATATTTCCTCTTTAATTCATTTGGTAATTGGGGTAACCACCTGTGTTAGCTAATGGCTTTCCTCCTAATGCATAGCTCTATAACAAAGCAGGTGTTTACAATTAGGAATAATGCACCTAGGTTAAACTTCCAAAGTGACAAGGAGATTGGGGCCCTATCTTCTTTGATGTTTACATTTTCAAAGAAATGGCTTCCAGACCCTCAAGAAAAGCATTCCTAGGTCTTTAAAAAGATTTGCATACATATTAAATAGAGGAAGTATGCACAAACACTAAGTTTCTCAAGAAAAAAAGGCAACAGGGAAAATTTTGGCAACAGGGAAAATTCGTGATTTTTAAATTTAGTCTTAGTTTTGAGTGTGTTATCAAACAAGTCCCTTTAATTCTTTCTCATTGCATGTGTGTGGACTGCCCTTTGGTAAGAAGTGCAGTGATGTCGCTGCGGCTACGTGCGTGTTGTGAACCTGCTCTCCAACAAGATCACCGAAAAGACATTTTTAAAAATGCAGACACGTCCTTGTTCATTTCCAATTCCCTTTCTCACACTAGTGTCACGTTAGGCCATTAACTGACGTTCAGCTTTCAAGCCTTACGTAAAGAACCATTCCCTTGTGGTGAATCACCCAAAACGAGCAGGTCAAGGGCAGAAGACGGGAGTTCACGTCCTAAGACTTCCCTGAAGCGGCGGGATCTTCCACACAGAAACCAACCGCAAGGCCAGACAAAACTGCTGTAATGGCCTTCAAATTTTTCCCTTTCTAACCCCGTTCCCCTTGGAGCTGCCGTAAGGAGGAAAGTGCGGGGGTTAGGAGGCAGAGCCGCGCGTTCTCCCGGACTGGGAGGAAGGGACTGCGCCCTGGCCCCGCGGGCTGGCAGAGACCACGAAGGGGTCGCAGAGGACCGTGGCAGCGGAGTCCAGGCCCAAGGCCTCACGCCCTCGCTGGGGCGCCGCGGCTCAGCTTTCTGGCCCTCCCAGGGTGCGAGCACGCCTCCACTCCGGAACTGCATTTCGGCAGACTGGGTCATCACAGGCTGAGGAAAACCATCGTCTCTCACCTCGACTTTGACTACAACGGGTGTGAAACGGCTTTCCCGATCTCCCGGACGACCGTGCCACCCGTCGGCTTGACGTCAGGGCGCGGTGACGTCACGGCCCACGCCAGTCGTCAACGCTTCCCTGCACCGCCCAGGGCCTCACGCACCGGGCGGAAGTGGGAAAACTGGTGGCGGGGCTCGGAAGGATGGGCTAATCTTACGCGGAGTGTTGTGAGAGGGAGAAAAGGGTATCGAGGGATGAGGCGGGCGAGGGGGCTGATAGCGGCTGCTGAGGTGGAGGGAGCCGTCCCAGTCTCGCAGGGGCGGGGGAGATGGAGAGAGGCACTGCCACAAGTCGGGGACCTACCGCCCTACCTCTCACCCCCGGCTCTGGGCCTGTGTGGCCAACACAGCAGTGAGCAGTTACTGTTCTTGAGCAGACGAAAAAGAGATGCCTGTAGAGGCTCCTGTAGAGGTCATGGGAAGTTCTGGTCTCAGCTGTTGCAGCGAGGGCAAATTAATTGGGAAGGCGTTGGTGACATTTCCATTCTAGTCCAAAGTAGTGAAGATTCAGGACTTAGTTCAAAAAGTATTTTGAGACCTCCTAGTCTACACATTATTTATCGCAGGCTGCTCACCCTTACACGTGACTAACTTCCCTTTATTCATATATTCATTCATAAAACAAGTATTTATTGCCTACTACTCGACAAGCAGAGCAGCATACTGAAATAGGGTGATACTCTGTGACTGATCAAGGCAGGAGCAGCCATTGGTATAATTAGCAGGTGACTTATTCGTAGTTCAGATCTTGCCTCTCTGAGGATTATATAAGGTCCAAGTACAGCTCTTTCAAGAACCAAAGAAAATACTAATGGCTCTCTAGCAGGCAAAGAGACTGGTTTAGTATTGATAAAATAAGATCAAGTAAATACAAAGAAAATTAATTGAACCTAGAGAAGTGATTAAATGATCCAGAGCAGTACTGGTTCACCAGTTAAACTGCTTATTGATAGCTATTAATGACACCATGAAGTATTGAACACTTTAGTGCCTTGTTCCTTGGCACTAAAAAGTCTAGGAAATAGGCGTATCTTGTACACTTGACCTGACTGATATTTTTGCCCCAGTGCCTACTCTTGATTTTCTGTTTCCACTCCCTCAAAGAGGATTACTTATCTGGGAAAAAAAATAAGCAATAACTGGAGGAAGAAAAGGATGAAGAGGCCTAGAGGACAGTCAACCAAGTGTTCAGCTACAAAATGCTTATGAGAAGCAGAAAGAACTTTCAGAGCTATTCATCCTCATCATATTTATCTGAGGGACAGTGAAGGTAGGACTGCTCTCATTTTGTAATAATGGAAGTTTGGATATAGGACACCAAAACCAGTACCTATCTGGGACAGGAATTTGCACAACTAATGCAAGATCACTCTGTTCTGAGGCTACTTTTGCTAATAGTATTACTATCAGCAGTAAGACTATTTATTGAGTACTTTGTGTATATGACAAGGAAAGGCAACACTTTAAGGATGGAAGAAAATCCAGCTCAAAAGCTGAAGTTCACTCTGTGGTTTAATTTCATCTGTGTTTATTTGCCTACATAATGTCTTTGAGATCAATTTCCTTTCCATTGTAAATTTACCTTAGACCTGCACTGTCCAGTAAGGTGGCCTCATGTAACTAATTTCATTAAAATGAAGTAAGTTTAAAAATTCCATTGCTATATTGATTTTAAGTGCTCAGTAGTCATGTAGGTACTGTATGATATAACATAGATACAGAATTTTCATTATCATAGAAAGTTGGGCTGGGCCTGGTGGTTCATGCTTATAATCCCAGAGCTTTGGGAGGCCGAGGCAGGAGGATCCTTGAAGCCAGGAGTTTGAGACCAGCCTGGGCAATATAGTGAGACTCTGTCACTATAAAAAAAAATAAGTCTGATGTGATGACACACATCTGTAGTCTTAGAAAGGCCTAGGCTAGAGGATCACTTGAGCCCAGGAATTTGAGGCTACAGTGAGCTATGAGCTGGCCACTGCACTCCAGCCTAGGTGACAGAGCCAGACCCTGTCTCTTAAAAAAAGAAAACAAAGAAAAAGAAAGTTGGAAAGCAGTAGACCCCAGTAAGAAATTCAAGGGATAAGAGTTAAATTATGAAGAATAACATTTTTTAAAAGGTGTTATTCCTGAAAGAAGATAGTGTAAAGGAAGTATTGTGACAGGATGTTACAAAATAGGTTAAAAAAAAAAAAGCCACGTATCCTGTGCTCTGTGTTGGTGTTTAGTCTTGGTCTTTCTTCAGGTTTCTCACTTGCCCTCCCTAATCCTTCTTCCTGCCCCATTACTGTCCATGCTAGAACTGAAGTACAATTTAAAATAATCCCATCATTGGGCATGTTTAATAAAGTTTTGGGTTATGCTGTTAATTTTTAATTGAGCTAATTTTCACTTTTTACTGTGACTTTTAAAAATTATCCAGTAATAGCCAAATTAAGTTGCTTTTAACTTATTTTTATGATCCTTTATTTTTTCCACCCCTCTGTATGGCAGTGACCCCTGGGGAAGGAAATGCTCTCTAGTTTTTGGAATAGAGACTCTCTAATTAGAGACTAACCTAGGGCTTTCTACATGGTCTGCAGAACTTTGTGTTGGATTATGAAGATCCAGTGTCTGTGCTTTTGGTACTGTTGTGAATTTACATAAAATATGTATCCAGTAGGGAGCTGTCATTCTTCTTATTCATTTCGAAAAGTAATTTTATGCTCCTTCCTTTCTTTCCTCCTCCCTCCATGAAAAGCATGTAGAAGAAGAGGTATGTTGCCTGCAATTCTGATAAAAAATGTAGGAAGTCTACCCAAGATTGTTAATGTTAAAGTGAGTTTAAAACTGTATAAAGGGAGCATGGCAAAATTACAGTTAGCCCCAACTTTATTTTCATCCTGCACAGCAGAACACAGTACAACTCTGTCCCTTCAAAAATGGGAATAAAATAGTTACAAAGAGGCCTCCTAGGTTGGAAGCAACCACAGCTTTCACTGCTATTTCTGGGTTCCATCCACTGCAAGTACAGAAAACAAACAAAAAAAAAACTAACAATTTTGAAAAGCTAATATTTATTGGGCTCTTTCTATTTGCTAGGCACTTCATATACAATGTCTCATCCAGTTGGAGAACGCTTCCAAATGTAAGTCAGATCCTACTTATTGTTTATTTTGACACAAAAAATAGAAATGGCTGAGGGCATGGCCTAACATGTGAGCACAGAAATGTACTTGGACCAAATATGAGTATAAGAGGAAGCACTTGGGCCTCACATACAGTTAACTCTGCCAGCCAGCCAGTATCCAGGGGCCATCAGCCTATAGTGGATTTGCAACATGAATATCCAAAAAGTATTTAATTCTGTAAACCTAATGTTGTCTTACACTTACTGTGTTCATGACTTTTCTGATGTCGCTTCCAATTTTCAAAGATGGTCAGCTACAAGGAACCACTTGGCTTTGTTTTATTTACCCCAACATATTTTGTTCCCACCAAGATGTGGATTGAATTTTCTTTCTTAATAATGTTTTATGATTGTTAAAACTACTATCAAGATGTGGATTGAATTTTCTTTCTTAATAATGTTTTATGTTTGTTAAAACTGCTATCAACATTATTAACATTTAAAGTTTTAAACTGCTTTAAAAAGCTACTTTGCATATTTTGAACCACAAATAACTAGTCTGGAGGTGGCTTAGACCACAAAATACTATTTGTGGGTTTAAGCTCTGTATCTTTTAAATCTTTCATATGTACAGTGTAAACTTGAGTACCTAATAAAATAAATGTCACAATGTTTAAATAGCATTTCTCTTTAGGAGTTAAAATGCTTTGTCATCTGTGCAGGAATAAATTGTGTGCTGAATTCTTTTTAGCCCTGAGAATATGATTATTGAACAAAATTTCCAATGAGACAAGTCAGGCCTTTAAATGATAAATATCCTAAAATATAAACAGTAAGTCAAGTACTACAGCAAAAGCTTCGATTATTATAAATGTGTTTCCTGTGTCAAGTTCACTACTGATAAGAGCTTTTTATCCAAAACTGTATTATGTGCCAAATACAACTTAATATTTATTACATGAATATGTCTTTGAAAACAAAAAGAATAGGCCAGGCACTGTGGCTCATTCCTGTAATCCCAGCACTTTGGGAGGTCAAGGTGGGCAGATCACCTGAGGTCAGGAGTTCGAAAACAGCCTGGCCAACATGGTGAAACCTCGTCTCTACTAAAAATACAAAAAATTAGCCAAGCGTGGTGGCAGGCGTCTGTAATCCCACCTACTCGGTAGGCTGAGGCTCAAGAATCACTTGAACCCAGGCAGCAAAGGTTGGCAATGGGCCAAGATCCCGCTACTGCACTCTAGCCTGGGCGACAGAGTGAGAATTCATCTCAATTAAAAAGAAAAAATTAAAGAATAAAGTTCTAATGGCACTAACTTAACACTTGTAATGAATGTGATGCTCAAAAACATCGTACTTAAAGAGACCGTTTTATAATGTATATTCGTCAAATTCCTTTTATAAACTCAGTGTCCAATAAATAGTGACTGAGAATTGATAACTGCCTTATGCATTTAAAAACAACTTTTGTAGTTTATTATTTACTTGCTTAGTGAAATTATTGCTTCTTTATTTCTGAAGTTTTCATAGGATTCTCATGAAGAATCTAAGAATCCAACTCCCCTTTGTTTTGATAAGTGATTGGCAAAAGTGATTTCATTCTTCCTTTGTAAAGATGAAGTTCATGTTTCTATACCTATTATTTTAGGTAGCCACTGAATTTACAGGAAACAAAGTATAAAAATTTTTCTGTCATTTTATTCTGCCTCCAATAATAGGGTTTTTAATGCCTTTAAATAAGGAGTTCTGAATCATCTTAAAGATATTTTCCTAGGAACTACTGATAACAAATATCAAGCATTTTATGAGCTCTATCAAACACATGAAAAATATTCAAATAATTATAGTAGCCCTGGTTTGCAATGATGTAGAGCAATTAGCAATCTTAAACACTGCTCTTAGGGTGAAAAACTAGAACATTTATTATGTTTTAAACCCTTTATAAAATGTTCAAAACTATTACAGGTGACACATCATCCTCCTTCTTCCTTTTGTTCAGGAATTCAGGCCTCTGTACTGCCCGCTTCTGTCTTACCCCAAGCACACATGAATCAGCCCAAGTCCAGAAGTGAGTTCAGATTAGATCAATTCTCTTAGCCCCTTCCCCTTTACAAGTGATTAAATCAGGAATGGGTCTATGATCCAATTATGACCAAAAGTTCCATTCCAAGAGATGTTTGCTGGAAGCTTAGGGAAATTATTTCTTACTAGCATATATACTCAGTGTTCACCACAGTCTTATAATGTTTAAAAATAGGAAATACTAAAATGAAAAATACATTGATTTACTCAAACAAGAGTGTGAAGCTGTTAGAAATGAAGATGTGGTTCTTTGCTGATGTGGTAGAATGTCCCAATAGGTTGTTCTGGGTAAAAAGCAAGTTAAAAATAGTGTGATAAATACTAAAAAACAAAACCCACAGTATTTTAAATAGCATTCTAAATGTACATTTTGTTATTTCTATATATATATATATATCTTCTCATAGAATCAGAAGAGGTAAACAATCAAGTTTCAGGAAAGCAGGAACCACTACTACTTTAAGAACTTCAGATATGCATTGTGGAATTCGAGAAAACTATAAAAAGGCTCAGCCCTTTGTTATCTACCACTTAATGAAAGTTGGTTACATTCTCTTTTATTGTTGGTATTCTCCGCACATGACAGAGCAGTGGTGGCTGATGGTCCAATTTTGTCACCAAAAGGAACTGGAGATAAGGCTTCTATTCCCACTCTCCAGTTAGAAAAATGCCAGGAAATGACTTTCTTTGGCACACCTTGAATGATACACAATCTCTTTAACCAAATAACTGAGGCCATGAGGAGTCAGGTACTGTTCATAATAGGCTCAGCTTGAGTCAGGTATATGCCTTTAAACCAACTGTGGGGACCAAGTAGGCAAGGCCACACACAATGACACTTCCCTTTCTAACTACATTCTAGAAGAGTAAAGGCAGATGCAGAATCCAGGCAGGAAGGATAGGCAGTTCTGTCTCAGAAGGAAGTTAAGTGTGCTGGGCAGATTAGAAAAAAAAAAAAAAATCCCACATATACTTAAGTGAAAATCCGAGTCAGCCGGGAGAACATTTTAAAATTAAACAGTGAATACTTTTGCTTTCTTTTCCCACATGTGGTAAGTTGAGATGAGAATATGTATTTTTGAGAAAGCTTCCTAGGAGTTTATTGTCTATTCTAACCCCTAAAGAATCTCTTTCCTTTAATGTTACATAGAAAATAAACTAATGTGGAGTTTCCCAGGCTTTCAGTTGACTGGGTGCCTTTGTGTTAAATTGTCATGGTGTTAACATTTTTTGTTTTGCCCTCTAAACTTGATTTATCTGCAAATCTACAACTTGAATTATGTAAATAGATATCTGTACGGGAAAAACACTTTTTGCTCATATGATCTTGAGAAGGAACTTAGATTCTGGCGCCTTAAAACGTGGCACCTTTTTTAAAAGTCCTTGGGGCTTTTGAGTCACCATATAAATGAGGTCTCTCAAGTTAGTATGCCAGGGAGATCAGGCATGTCTGATTTTAAAATAAAACGCTGCAAAGAAAGCTTCTGGGAGGAATGAGAGCATGGCCAAAATCACTACTCTGTAATTAGTCTTTGAGCAGAGTGGACAGAAATTTCGTCCCAAAGCCGCCGTCTTTGCTCTGGTTCCGTTCTCTGTAAGCATGTCACACGAACCACACTTGTGCGCCATGCATCCCAGTTTAAAGCTTTCCTTGGGAAGTTTCCCTAGCTTTATTGCTTATGGAAAGAGCAGCTCTGGTTCCCAATTCGTTTAATACATCCTGTCCGAGAGCGTTTTATTACCGAATGTTACCCACGTTCTGATAACAAGGGGACGCTGTGTCCTCGCCCCGGTGAATTCACTCCGCGTTCCAGAAATATAGCGTGACTGCCCTCCCCGCTGGTGGAAGCCGGGCGCCGCCCTCCAGCACCTGCGCCTCCCGCTTGGCAACGGCCGCGGTGAGCACGAAGTGCGTGCGACCGCAGCCCGGCAGGTCACGCAACCCCAAGCCGCCGCGCCGCCTGCGTGCCTGCAGCCCGCCGGCCCCGCCCCCGCCGATTGCTTCCGCCGCTTTCCTGCACGCTCGGGCTTCCTGGTGCGCCCGAAGCCTGCCTCGCGTGCAGACCTCGCTGCGTAATCCGGCGAGGAATCCCAGATTCCGCCCAGCCCCCGACGCCCTCCACCGACGTTAGCCTGAGCAGGTGATGCCCTCATTTTAAGCCGAAAAGTGTCCGTCTCCGATATACAGCAAACACCTCAGGCTGCGAAACGTGGGAGAAGGGAACAGTGGGCGGGGAGTCGCATGGCCCCTGAGCCCCTCTCGGCCTCGTTGGCGCCTGCTCTCTGCCCGCTCCGTCGGGTGACCCCGGCCCGGCTGCGAAAGCAGCAAGATGGACTTCCGTACTGCCTGGATTTCGCAGGCAGGGGCGGGGGTGGCCCAGCCAGGGCTAGGAGACCTGGGAAGAGGTCCCCAGCGAGTGACCTTCGCGGAGCTGCCTCACCCCGCCTGCCTGGAGCCGGGAGCCCGGCATGCACTGACGCCTGGGGCGCGTGGGGGACGACTTTCGTTGCCTGGCGGCTGACCCCAGCGACTCGGCGCCTCCTCCAGAGGTGCGCTGGCGGGCAGTGAGGGGCAGGGCTCGCTGAAGCTGAAAGGAGCAAGGGCTGGCGCTGTGTAGGTTAGATTCTTTGTTGACGTCTGGCAGCCGTCTTTTGAAGAAAGAGAAAGGGGCCATTATTGCAAGTAGGGTGGGCTTCATCGTGGGCCTCGAAGGATCGGGGTGGGAGCCGGCTGTCAGAACCCCTCACGCCACGCCGCGTGCAGGCGAGGGGAAACGCGTGTCGTGACGACCGGCGATGAGATCAGTTTGAACAACCACAGCGTCGGGGCTGAGAAATGCAGCCAGTCACGCAGCTGCTGCCTCGGCCGGGCGCCGGCTCTGCCCGGGTGGCCACAGCCGTCCGGTGCACCACTCCAGCAGAGGGAGCTGGGGGTT